CGGTTGAACTGATGATGGAGTTGGATGCTGATGGCTTGAGTGAAGTCGGCCGTCTTTGAAGAAGAAGAGTGTGGGTTAGTCCGGATTCAAGGTGGTTTATATAGTAGCGGATATCATTTAGGGAAATATCTGTTGTAGTGTAACATGACGTTTTGTTTCTAATTTTAGTACAAACTCCGTAGTAGTTGCTTGTTTCGCAAGCTTTTCGTACACTAATCTGGCGGAGTGGATTGCGGTAGTCGCAAAGCGGCTGTCATTAGTGAGTGATTATTGGCCGTTGATTGCGCAACGGTAGTGTGTTGAAAGGGGAAAAAAACTATGTATTGAAAAGAATGTTCTTGATGTTTCTGTTTAGCGGCTTTCTACATTACACTTGTAGAGGCTGTCGTTAATCCGTTGCGAAAGGCGTGTATTAATCGAGGTACAGAGCATATGAAAGCAAGTGTCATTCAAACTATTTCCGAGCGGTCGTTCCTTATTCGTTTCATATCTTATGTTCCGTATGGTTAAATGAAGTTATTAATGCGTGTTATAGCGATAATTACTCTTATTTGAAAAAATTGCGAGGACTATGAGTGGTTGTGATAGTAGGAACAGAAGTATATAAAATATAAACCGAATACCCAGTAGAAGATTTGCAAGCTCAATATGTTGTGTCAATTTGTGTTGCACAAATAAAGTTGAAGGATGAAATCCTTAGTGCTCATCAAACCCGTCTGAGGGAGGTCGGGCATCGATCCGAGCTCTGAACTTCTGACCGTGCGGGTGATGTAGTGCTCTTGGGTCACTACACGACCACTGCCCTGTGTTGCTTGAAAGAAATGGTAAAGTGGCCACATCGGGAACCAGTCGATGAGATATCACTATCTGTGCAACTGGTTGGATGAATATCACAATCTTGTGCAACTGGTAGGATGAATGGATATTTGTTCTAATGATGTTCAGTAATATAAAATCGTTCTTGGAGGAGACATGGGCAGTTACCGTATGCTGGATCCCACGTGATGTTAGGTGCGCGCATAATTAATAGGTTTGCAGCGAGAGGGTGTCAATTATTAATGAGGGCAACTGCTGTCGGTTGACTCGCCGACAATTGATAGGATACTAATCGTATCTTGAATCAAAATGGGAGGATTGGTGATTTGTGGATGTTCGGCTTGGTGTGATCTGTGAAGAGCCGGTTGGCTGTTTTTAGATGTACACCATATGAGACTCGAGATTTGAGCAGTGTGACCACCGCTCATGATATTATGGTCAGCTGAATGGTCTATTACGTCTCATGGGCAGTAGAGAGTATTTTTCTAGAAAAGTAGAGAGTACAAGAGAGATCTCAGTGGCGACTGGGTCCTTTAATATGAATCGCGATCAATAGTTTTAAGTAATGTGTTAATCATGATTATTAGTGTATGTCATAATATGGATCATGATTTTGAGTCCTGTGGGGTTATCCGTGGACGTCCGAAATAACACCCTAAGTTGTGGGATCCGGGAGATTAACTTAATATGTTACGCGATTGTGATACGTTAACCTCGTTTTCATGGGGAAAAATAAATTTTCCTGGTACTATAAATAGGGTTATAAACACGTGATAGGTAGTTTGAGTAAAAAATAAATTTTCCTGGTACTATAAATAGGGTTATAAACACGTGATAGGTAGTTTGAGTGAAGGGGACCGTCGCTAGGACCGAAATTTACTAATCTTGTTACAATTAGTAAAGAAGTGCTTGTTGGCACTTTTTAACCCTTCATGTATACGCGACCGTATACTTATTA